CCTAGAAGAGATGTGTACACATGCCCAAGGACTTGCATCACTGGTTAAAACTGCAGATTTCTGAGCATCAACCCAATTATTCCAAATAATGTCATACACAGGTACAGCTTCAAACACAGACCTAGACAGCAGGCCAAGAACCAAATCTGAAGCTTCAGAATGCCCGGGGCCTTTTTATGGCACTGTGTATTAAATCCAGGGAGTCATATATGTTAAGTGGATGCTCTACCACTGAGCTACATCCATAGCCCCAGAACATATGTTTTAATAACTTAACTTTTAAAGTTAAAAAAATTTCACATTATTACAAAAATGAAGATGACGTGGACACACCTTGCTAGGAATAAAGCTTCATGTTCCTTTTAATGGTCCCGCAGTTCCCCCCCCCCCGTTTTCTGAAAAAGGAAAGAGGGTGGGGTTTGTAGCCTGGCACACATGGCCTCCTCTCTGTTAAAAAGCATGACTTGGCCATACCACATTGTGAAACCACTGACTTACACATTCATTGAGAGGACTTCCTGACATTAATGCATCATTGTGAGTGAACTAACTTTAAATTACTGTGTCACAAGAACTGTATAATTTAGGAAAAAAAATCAAAGACACATGCAAGTTAGACATAGGAGCTGATATGACTCACTATAGAGCCAGACTCAATAGAATGATACAGAATGGAAATCATAAATTCACTGGTAATTTATGAAGCCTCTTGGAAGGAGAATTTTAGCAAAAGAAGAGATGAAAGAAAAATAGCAAGGATCTGTCAAAAGTGAATTTTGCAGTCTTTGTCTGTTTTTACGACTGTGCACATATCCAGTGAGCTATGATCAAACATTCTGATAATTGCATGCATATCTAGATTGTCTAAGTTATTTGGGTATCCATTCCAGCTATTTAAGAATTGTTTTGTTATATGTCGTGGTCTTACTAAATATTCAAAATCATGAGTGACTCAGAGAAGTGCACATCCATGCTCTGAGGGTGTATCTTTATTTCTGAATGCCTTTCTCCTGACTCGTGCATAAAGTTTATATTAAAATATACTAAGGGTAGGTATGGTGATGCACATCTTTAAACCCAGCACTCAGGAGGCAGAAGCAAGCAGATCCCTGTGAGTTCAAGAACAGCCTGGTCTACAAAGCAAGTTCCAGGGCAGCAAGGGTTACACAGTGAGACCCTGTCTCAAAACAAGCAAACAAACAAATAAAATGGGGCCTGGGAGGATGGCTCTTGGTAAAAGCATTTGCTGAACAACCATGAGGACCTGAGTTCAAATTACCAACACTCAGGGCATAACCAGATGTGGCCATTTGGGTGCCTGAACCCCAGAGTGGTAAAGGGAAGAAACAGAATTGTTAGGACTTCCTGGTCACCAGTCTATCTCCAGGTTCAGTGAGAAACACTGTCTCAGGTACCCTCTCCACTATTGCTAGTAGGCTAAGCTGGAGTCATCCTTATGGATTCCTGGGAATTTCCTTAGCATCAGGTTTCTCCTTACCCCATAAGGTCTCCCCCTATGAGGATATCTCTTTCATTGCTCTCTCCCTCCATCCGTCCCCTAGCTGGCCTACCCTGTAATCAGATTGGTGACTACCCTAACTGTCATCATGGAGACTTCGTCCAGTAACTGATGGAAGCAGATGCAGAGATCCACAACCAAGCACCAGGCTGAGCTCTGGGAGTCCAGTCGAAGAGAGGGAGGGGGGATTATATGAGCAAGGAGTGGGGGGGTCAAGATCGTGATGGGGAAATCTACAGAGACAAGTGAACCAAGCTCAAAGGAACTCAGGAACTTTAGACCAACAGCTGTGGATCCTGCATGGCACCAGACTAGACCCTCTGCATACGGGAGACAGTTGTGTAGCTGGGTCTGTGTGAGGGGCCCCTGGCAGTGTGATCAGGATTTATCCCTTGTGGTGATATATTGTGTACCCTAATAAAATTTGCCTGAAGATCAGAGAACAGAACAAGCCACTAGATTAAACACAGAGGTGAGGCAGTGGTGGCACACACCTTTAATTCTAGCACTCAGGAGGTAGAGATTGGTCTGGATCTCTGTAAATTCAAAGTCACCCTAGACTACATGAGGTTGACTCAGTCTAGGAGAGAAACAGAGCCAGGCAGTGGTGGCACACACCTTTAACCCCAGTACTTGGGAAGCACACACGCCATTAATCCCAGCACTAGGAAGAAAGTGGTGGCTGGGCAGAGAAAGGTATATAAGGTGGGAGGAGACAGGAACTGAGGCTCTTTCAGGCTGAGGAGTCCTCGAGATAAGACGTGGCAGTGGCTTGTTCCTTTCTCTGATCTTTCAACATTTACCCCAATACCATTTTAAAATTCGTGTTACAATCCCTGGTGCATGAACTGGCTTTCTGAACCTCATTACCTATGGTCAGATACCTTGCTCACCCTTGATGCAGCAGGGAGGGGCTTGGTCCTGCCTCAACTTAATGTACCAGGCTTAGCTGTCCCCCAATTGGGAGAACTTACCCTGTTGGAGGAGTGGATGAGGGGTGATTTGGAGGAGGAGAGGCGGGGGGACGGGAGAAGGAATGAAGGGGGGATCTGTGGTTGGTATGTAAAATGAATAAAATAAAATTTTTTTTTAAAGAGAGAAGCCCTGTCTCAAGGGAACAGGGTGGAGAGTTACAGAGCAGGACACCTGATGTCTTCCTCTGTCCTCCACCTGTGCATCTGAGCGCCTCATGCATGAACACAGACACAACACACCATGACACACACACATACACGCACAAATATTTTCAAAATACTTCTATAGACCCAACTATTTGTGATGGAGAGAGTTTAGTGTTTCAGAAAATGTGCGACTCTTGCAGAGGACCCAGATTCAGTTGCTAGCAATCATGTTGGGCAACTCAAATCCGCCTGTAATTCTAGCTGCAGGGGATGGAAATCCCTCTTCTGGCACCTGTACTTATGTGCACATGCACACACACACACACACACACAGAGAGAGAGAGAGAGAGAGAGAGAGAGAGAGAGAGAGAGAGAGAGAGAGAGAGATTTGTTTCTTAAAATAACTAAGATAAATAAACCACTGTTTTAGAAAAAAACAAATCATTCTTCATTCATCTTTTACATTTAATATCCAAGCTCTTGGCTGGTGACATTCACACAGTTAAACAGAAAGTGTGACTTGTTAAAGCCCTCAGTGGATTAGTTTGCCCAGTTTGTTCCACTTTCTGGCAAATACGTATGACTTTGCAAAGACTAGAGTGTTGATTTCCAGATATGGTTTAAAATCATGATGGAGTGAGCCAGTTGATTGGCTTGATCAGTTTGGGAGGCAACTAGGCAGTGGGACCAAGTCCTGTGCTCATTGCATGAATAGGCTGTTTGAAACCTGGAGCTTATGCAGGGACACTTGGCTCAGTCTGGGAGGAAGGGACTGGACCTGCCTGGACTGAGTCTACCAGGTTGATCGCA